AGAAAAGACCAAAATGGATGTCAGAAGAAACTCTGAAGATTGCACCAGAGTGTAGAGAAACCAAAGCACAAGAAAGAATTCAAGATACTAAAGAGCTGAACAGAAGATTCCAAAAAGCAACTTGGAATGACAAAGCAAAAAATTACAATGAAATGTGCAAGGAGCTAGAGTCGGAAAAGAAAAAGGGCCGAACTTGTTAGCATTTCTTAAGCTCAAGGAACTGAAGAACAAATTCAAACCTAGCGTTGCTATAATTAAGGATGCTTTAGGCAGAATATTAAATGATCCAGGAAGTATTAAAGAAGATGGAAGGGAGCGTGGGCGGTGCCGCCCCCATCCCTGGTGGCCCCGCGCAGCGCTCCAGCCGCCTCCTCCTCCTCTGATGTGGCTCCAGCAGGAGGCGCGCAGGGCCAGAGACCCGCGGACCCGGGAGCTGGAGCAGCTCGGAGGAGGTGAACAAAAAATGGGAGAGAAACAGAATGGGAAGAGTAAAAAGGTTGAAGAGGCAGAACCTGAAGAATTTGTGGTAGAAAAAGTGCTGGACCGACGTGTAGTGAACGGGAAGTTCGAATATTTTCTCAAATGGAAGGGATTTACAGATGCTGACAATACTTGGGAACCTGAAGAAAATCTGGATTGCCCAGAATTGATTGAAGCATTTCTTAATTCTCAAAAAGCTGGTAAAGGAAAAGATGGCACAAAAAGAAAATCGTTATCTGGTAGTGAATCTGATGATAGCAAATCAAAGGAGAAAAGAAATGCTGCTGACAAGCCAAGCGGCTTTGCCAGAGGTCAGATGTCTTGATCCCGAACGAATAATTGGTTCCACAGACAGCAGTGGAGAATTAATGTTTCTCATGAAATGGAAATATTCAGATGAAGCTGACTTGGTGCTGGCGAAAGAAGCAAACATGAAATGTCCTCAAATTGTAATTGTATTTTATTAAGAGAGACTTACTTGGCATTCTTGTCCAAAAGATGAAGCGATATATATATGTGTTAAAATCTGGGTCTTGGTTTTTGATTTATTAGTGAATAACAACTACATTCTAATGGAAATCAAGTTTGATATATTTGTTTTGAAGTAGTATTGGGGGAGTTATTTGGGACTTTTATTGGTTGGG